TATTACCATAAAAGGGTTGGTTCTGAAAACTCGGTTTTTGATTCATTTGAGTGTCTCTTGGAATATATCCGAGACCAACAGTCTCGTTTTCCTTTCTTTTGTACCGAGAGGGTCCAGTTCTAGAATGCTGTCTAGACCTGGTTCTGACCTTGGTACTATATGGTTGGTATTCCGGTTTGTTTTTGAAATCCTGTCTCTCGTCCTCAAGGCGATTGAGGTGATTAATGAGCAAGGCAATGTCCGGAATTTTTCTTATAAGTTTTTCTTCATCATTAACTTGTTTATTCATACTATCGAGCTTGAGTGAGAAAATGAGATTATCTTGTTCTAAAACCACTTCACTATACTTGAGCCTTTCATCTATTAACTCTCCCACTTTTGTTTCCAGCCTTATCTTGGCTCTAGTGGCTTCCTCGAGTTTAGACTCAAGTTCGGTGATTTGTGATTTAAGATGATCGTTTTTCAGAAAGACTTTGATTTAGCTCGATAGTTAATCTTTTAAAAAATTTCCGAACCTTGCCTTTAGAAAGGGAATCAAATTTAGAAAGAAAGCTTTCCAGGTTTACCTCGAAATTCTCTTGGTCGGATTCTTCATCGGAATTAGCCATGAGGCACAATCCTGCATGATTTTGGCTTTTTTCTTCTTCTTCTTCTTCATCATCGGATGAATCTCGCCAAGCTGCCATCATTGCCTTCTTGAGGTCTCTGTTGAACCCTTTATCTTCACTGGACCATCGGTGAGATCTGGTCTTGTTCTTGTCGTAGGTTCTATCATTTTTCTTTTGAGGACAATCTTTTGCCCTGTGCTCAAAGGACCCCCAAACAAAACAACCTTGGTTATTAAAAGATTGAAACCCTTTTTTACCTTGCTTGTTCCGGTTGCCTTTGAATTTTCGGCACATCTTTCCGAATTGCTTGGCAAACATGCTCATTTCGTCTTCCGATTCACTTTCGGAATCTTCTTCTTCCTCTCGAGCCTTGAGAGCAATTCCTCGCTCCTTCCTCACATTTTCGGCATCTTGTTCTTCTTGTAGGCCTAACTCATATGTCATGAGCGAACCGGTCAGGTCTTCTAACGTCACGGTGGAGAGATCTTTAGCTTCTTCTATAGCCGTAGTTTTGGGCTTCCATGCGGAGGGCAAACTTCTCATAACATTTCTCATTTGATCTTCCACAGTAATATCCTTTCCAAGTGCTGAAAGCTCATTTATAATATTAGTAAAGCGTGTAATCATATCCCTAATTGACTCTTTAGGTTTCATCATGAACAATTCGTAACTATGCATAAATATGTCAATTTTGGATCTTTTTACACGCGAGGTACCTTCATGTGTAACCTCGAGTAAATCCCACATTTGTTTTGCGGATTTGCATCCAAGAACACGGTTGTGCTCAGCCGGACCAAGTCCACAGATCAAATATTTCAATGTTTGGGCATTATGCTCGAGTTTACGATAATCATCAGCAGTGAATTCAGATTTGGGTTTAGGAATAACTTTACCTTCGGAGTCCACCTTAGTAATGACGTTATCACCTGCCTCAATTACATTCCATACCTGATAGTTTTCAGCTTTGATGAAGTTCTCCAATCGACTCTTCCAGAATTGGTAAAATTTGCCGTTGAACAACAGTGGTCGTTGAGTCGAGTATCTTTCCTCCAATCGTTCAACCGTATTCATGCTGCCGGATCTCTTCCCAAGGTATTAACCTTTATGTGGCGAATACCGGCTCTGATACCAATTGATGAAACGGTTAGCAACACAAGAGGGGGGGGGGGGGGGGGGGAGGGGGGTGAATTGTGTGTGTGTGGAACCGTGACAGTTTTTCACACAGTTCTAGTGTGGGGTCCAGGGAATTGAAAAATAGTAAAGTGCACAAGGATTTAACGAGGAAAAATCCCTTGGCTCAAAGGGATTAAAAAACCTCGACCTCCCTCGGAGGAATTTTCAACAACTTCACTAATAAACCTTTTGTGGTTACAAGGTAAATTCTCCTAATCTACCCTTGAGCCACCCCAACTCTATCCTCTCTAGGAAGAGTTATGCATCTCTACCTAGCGGGTAGAGAGCCTCTCAGCTTTACAACAAAGCTCTCACACACACGACCCCAACCAGAGGAAGCTACACTTAAGTTGTTCCACAAACTTCAATTACAAAACAAGTAAGAGAAAAGAAACTATATCTAGAACTCTGTAAGCATGTCCAGTTGCCTTGATCTTGATACTCTCTTATAAGTATTTCTCTCTATAATTGTTCGGTCAAGCACACATCATTTCTCTTTGGCTGCTTTGTTTATATAGGCTGTCTTGGGCAGACCGTTTAAGCATCCTTCCTTGAATAGTTTATCTTCTAATCTTGGGACTTGCCTCAATATTTTGAATTGCTTTCCTTTTACTTTATAATATTTCCCATATCCGAGCTCAATATATAAGGTAGACGAATTAAAATATCTTAATCATATAGCTCAAGAGAATAAATACAAACAGGTCATCCAAATCTTGTGTGATCAATTAATTACCAAATAAGACAGGCTTCAGTCAATTCCCAAAAAGGTAGGAATATTATTCTCAATATAAGCAAGCAACGTATTAAGATATGGAATATATTTCAAACAACTTTTACCTTTTCAAATCCGTATAGCAAGGGAATATTTTACCTACCACAATAAGCATGTGACGGCCCATGCCAGAAAATATCCACACTCAAACTATTCACTTACTAAGTTAATCAAGGATAACTTTTATGGCAAGGAGATATTTAGCAAAGCATGCAATACGTAAGTGCTATGGTCAACCACCAAATGCAATCAAATAAGGATACTTTCCATAAAGTAATAAGCTATACTAATAAGTGGATGTCTAATCAAGTATGGAAAGAGAATAATCACTCAAATAAGCACTCATACAAGCAAATTACGTATATCATGCCAAGAAGGATATTTTTGCTTAAAATCATATTTTTGACAAAGTATAATCACTCATATAAGGAAAGCATATTAGTTGCAAATCATGTAGATGCAATCAATATTAATTCAAATCATATTAAGGAATTAGAAATGGAGCTGCATTAGTTCCTCCTGCATGGTTAGTCAATCAACAAATTAATAATATCCATTTGTTCCCGAGGATAGTTCTGTCCTTTGTTCCGCAAGGAACTGTGAGCGGTTCTATCCGCCGTTCCACCTGCATGGTTAGTCATCAACAAAACAATCATACTCAACATCTTCCTTGAATATTAATTAATTCCTATTCATATTTCATATTAATATTTTGAACATTACTTAAAGGATCAACTAGTTTTGTTTCATATATTAATTATTACTAGAAACGATTGATGAATCGATGGTTAATCGTTGATGATTTCACAAGTAAGTAACTTTGGTTTATTAATGCACGGTCGTGGTTGATAAACTTAAGAGGGATTAATTTTGTTGGTTAAACCGAAACCGTTGTAGTGTTGAGGTTATAAACTTAGATAGGCTGGCCGCCGGAGAGAGACTGGGGGCGGATCACCGGGTGTTGGTGGCTAACAGTCGTGGCTAGCGGTGGTCACTATCGAAATTGGGTAACCATAAATGATCAAACGAGTAACTGTAACTGACTGAGTGGGGTAATTGTAACTGATTGAATCAGATAACTGTAACTGGTTGGGTCTAGTAATTGTAACTGGTTGGATCGGATAACTACAACTGGCATGATCGGGTCGGATAATTGTAACTAGGAATTTGTCAGTTGTCAATGTACTGTTTGTCGATCATTGTATGTGTCAATTGGGCCTATTGGCCTAATAAGGGTATAATAGTCCCCATACCCATTTTTAGTCTTAGTTTTGGAAATTTAATAAGTTTCTCCCCTTTTGAAATAATTACATAAATATGACCAAAATAAAGATGATTTACAAAAATATGACTAATGACTGGAGTAGTAATGAAATCATAGTAATTCATATTCAAGTTTTGAACTTAAGTTACCACAACATCACATTGTAGTAATGAATAATCATATTTATGTAAATATGTTTTATTTTAGTAATATTCTTGTAAAAAACCCTTCTCTTTTTTTGTCAAATTATTATTTTTAAGTAATATTCATATCCTAATTCAATCAAGCTGCACGCTTTAAAAATTGAATTGATCCTTTCGTTTTATCCAATTAAATCAATGATTATATACGTATGTAGTACATACTAGTATAATTTCTTGTGAGGCTGTCGTTTGCTTATCCACCTGCATGCACAGCCACAACCAACAGACAACTAGGTATGGAAATTAAGATTTTCCAGTACTCATGTGTTCTATATACCCACAAATAGCCCATGTCCAGACTTGAAAGGCCTTGTTATTAGTCCATTTCTACTTGGAGATCAATTATTAATTTAATACTCTCCCCATCCTAGTTAACTAAGCTAGTCCACTACTCCACTTCTTAACTACCTACTAAGAACATGAAATTGCCACTACTCCACTAATACCAATTTTAACTAATAATTAAATTAATTAAAACTTTAAACATATTTAAAACTCCAGTCATGCATACGTGTCCCATGACTGATTAAAACCCAACATTTTGCAACTTCTTTCACTTACTTTCGATCGTTTTTATTATTAGTTCCGTAACTTTATAAATCACTTGCAAATTTGATCATATAATTAATAAATCACTTGCAAATTTGGTCATCCTAAAAAGTACACTTTTTACTGGTGCTGGTTTTTTCTGGCGAAAAGTGTACTTTCTAGTGAAAAAGTTCTTAAATTGCAAAGATTTTTTAGTTACAAGACCAAATTAAATTTACATATAAGTAAAGTTACATGACTAATAACGACAACAGTCTAAAGTTAAAGGACTGAAATTGCAAATCTCCCTAAATGAAACTTATAGACTATTAAATTTGACTATTTATATTTTTCAAACACTAAATTACTTTAATTGCATTACTCCATAATATATAATCATATATAACTGTGTTTAATATAATTTTTAAGTATATATTAATAATTAAATTAAAACATGGTCAAAGTAGAATATTATTGAATATTTTTTTTACTCTTTTCCTGGAAGGTCCATTTAATGAGGATTATGATGATAACTGTTAAATGGAAAAAATGGATAATACACATATCATTGAATTGCCAAAAACATTATATATACACTATAGTAGATGGGTAGTAACAAAATGTGTATGATCTTCTTGTGTTTGTTTAGCTGGTTTGATATGCTGAGCACACCTGAGAGTCCTCTCAATTTGGTAACCTCCACCATGGCTGACTTCTCTTTCCAGATGACAGCAGTAGCTCTGGAACACACTCACATTCACATGCAACTTGAATCCCATCATAAACAATAACTCAACCTCCAACCTGTTCATTTCCATTCTTGTCAGCCCACCAACTCTCGCAAAGTATGAATTTTTGTAATTCCTGTGCATTAATTTAAATAGGAAAAATTGTCAAAAAATTTCATCAAAAAATTCCACCGGGAATCGTCCTAAATGGCGATAGCTGGACATAACCTTCTATATAAGGAGTGATTTACACTTTTTAATATAAATGCGTATTAATGATTAATACTTGTACTTGCCTATTTGGAAACTACACTATAAGTTTTATAGAATCACCATAACTTGATGAAAAATATACATAGTATATGGTATGGCTGAAATTGGTAATATAAAATTAATTATTAGAAATTTAAATAGATTTATGATCAATTCATTGCGTTTATATATATACTCCAAGAACTTTAAACAAGATTTGTGCACTTCAAATTTATCTATATTTTAGGCTCTATTTTGAGCAATTTCTTTGGAAAGGAATTGCCAATTTGCCATGCATGATGCATGAACATAATTATATTACGAGGAAGCGATCCAGCTCAGTTGATTGCCGACTCACTCTCGTACACGGGAGGTTTCAGATTCGAAACTCTATATGGACTGAGTTTTAGCCCTATTTATATTACGTACCTATCTTCAACATACTTAGAAGCGAGCAGAATAGTGGTGATGAGGAGGCGGTGAACGTTGGTGGGAGAAATCCGGAAGCGGGGATGGAGCAGGCACAACCGGTCGATGTAAACATAGGCAACCACAAACACCGACGGTCCGGCGCCGATGTACCGGAAAACCCTCTCCAGATACGACTGAACACTCATGTTTGGGGTTTCATGGCACTCAAAAACCCTAGACGCCGACATTACTCTTATTCCTCCTCCTCCTTCTCCTCCTCTGTACCTTTTGGCAATTCTCTCGTTCCTCGCCACTCTCCGCTCTATCACGGAAGCAAGCACCGAGATGACTAACGGTGTGGCGGCGGTAGCGGCAGCGGCAGCGGTGGCCGTCTGTTTATACGGGTAATGGAGATCATCCCTTAACTTTCTTGGAGATATTATTATTGACGATGGTGAGGTCTCTGCGGTCAATGCCATCGCCATATATGGTTTCGAGTATTATTGTAGCTAGCTAGCTTGCTCTAGAGCCAGTTGTTGATCATTATAAGTTATTTATATACATACTTGATTGATACTTCTCTCCTCTTGATGCATAAGATATTAATTAATTAATTCTTGAAAAACAAAGATATTAATTAATTAAATCAATTAAAGTCTATTTTATTTTTGTTCATAAATGTGTGATAATAAATGTTTTCGCAACCCATGAGCAATTGTCCTTGTCCTGTTGTCCAACTATCCAAGGACGGGAGAAAATTAGGTATTTGTCAAAGCCACAAGTCCACAACTAACCAATACTTAGTTTTTGATCAGTAGTTCAGTAGCATTAGCTTTAAGAATTTAATACTAATTATGATTGATTATTATTGTGCAATATTCAAATTCTTGTACATAGACCGATGACAAATTAAAGTGCTTTAGAGTACACAAAATTAGCCTTATACGTAGTATACAGTAGTATAGACTTGGTTCAGTGGTGATTTAGTTCAAGAAATTGTTTTAAATATGAGTAAAACACTAAAACATAGATACATTATTGTAAAATAGTACTACTTAGTAGTTATGTTTTATTTCTAAAATATGACTCATTTGGTTCTTTAAAAAGCACAATACTTTCCTAATTAAGAGTAAATCGGTATGATTTTACGAAGAAAAAAAATGATGGTCTGATTTGGTTCTGTGACTAATAAATTTTTGCAATTTAAGGACTTTTCCACCGAAAAGTACACTTTCCGGCAGAAAAATCTGCCGCCGCGACATCTTTTCTAGTATACTATCACCGTACCGGAAAGTATACTTTTTCGGGAAAAATTCTTTAAATTGAAAATATTAATTAGTTACAGGACCAATTCGCAAATATTAATTAGTTACATGACCAAATTTTCAAGTGACTAGAGTTACGAGACCAATAATGAAAACACCTGAAAGTCACGAGACGAAAATTACAATTTTCCCTCGGATTCATTATTTTCTTCTTATTTAATGAATTGAATCCTCTCATTTATTTAGTTTAATTTCAAAATAATGTAGGTTTGAGAAAGTTCCCATAGGAGTAAAAGATGACACATGTCCGCAAATTTTGGTTTAGACTCATTTCAGGGGTATTTGGATCTAATTCTTAAAAGTTTGGATGAAAGCGCAGAAGTACTTATAGTGCTCTAATTTACTCGATCCTAGAAGCAATTATTTTAGAAATTGGGGGATATCAGCTTCTAAGAACTGATTCTGCTTTACAAAAGAAGCAGAAGCAAAACCAGTTCCAAACACCCCCTTATACTACATACATAATTCCACTTTATGCGCACATGTGTGTTTCTAATAGCACAAATATATATAGTGAGGCAAAAAATAATACTACCTCCGTCCAGAGGATAATACTACTTCCGTCCCGTAAAATTCTTCTCACTTACTTTTTTGGATGTTCCAAAAAATTCTTCCCATTTCGATTTATAAAAAGTTTTGTAAAGGGAAGAATATTATGGGACAGAGAGATTAATAGATATTGTGAATTATTTAAAAGATCCAAAGTTGAATTATGAACTAACCACAACCAATTATAAATGATTTTTAAATTAACCATTCGTATATATTATATATTTACACTTTAACTAGTAGCATGGTTTTAAATTGCTGTCGCAGCTGTGGTTGCGACTGTTACAGATGTTGCGATGCGTATTGTGGCCCGATGCGAACCGATGATGCCTCATTGCGGCCACTTCCCGTGAATCGAAATCTCTTCGCCATTGCTGCCAGATGTAGTTGCGGCGCTATAGCTCACCACCACAATATTGTGGCCGCAAAAGTGTTGTGTTCCGCAATTTAGAACTATGTTTATACAAATTTATTAAAATGTTTATCACATTCAAATGTATATTTGAATGTTAGTTTAGACACAATATTAGTTTTTTTTATATTTAGTATGTAGTACTCCGTTGACTTAGTGAATAAAAGTTTTACTTAGTGAATTAGTGAATAGAAGTTTGAAACTATAATTGCAAAAACGAAATTCATATACCATCTAAGTATCTAACATCCATTTCTTTGATGCTATAATTAACAATGTTTATAGTAAAATGTCTTCCAGAATAAGACATTGGAAATATTTGCGGTATACTGCATTGTATGTAATGCCCATGAAAATGTAAATTAAAAGTACGATGAACAAAACTGAGAATATTTCTCAAAGTAACAAATATGAGAAGATTTTTCTTATTTCCAATTTGTAAAGAAGTTAAAAATATTGAATGTACTAAAAGAATCGAACACCCAAAATTAAATTTGAATGTGATTAACTTTTAATACCTAAAAGAATTGTCAATAAAAAGTCATTTTCTCTCTCTCTATATATATATATACATATATATATATACTTTAAAAAATCTATATTAATGATTATATAATTAGAAAAAATGATTAAATGAAAATGATTAACAAAGATTTTACAACACCTAAAAGTTAAAAAAATGGTACGTGCTTAAAGCATTGAACACAAACTTAAATTTGAATGTAATTAACATCTAATACTTAAACGAATTATCAATAATACAAAGCGTCATTTTTTTTGTTTATCTTTATATTTGCTTTTAAAAATGTGTATTAATGATTATATCATTAGGGAAGAAAATTATTTAAAATAAGTAACAGGGAGTATACATTTAAAAGTTAAAAACGTTGTACATGCTTACAGAGTTGAACACCAAAAACTAAATTTGAATGTGATAAACATATAATACCTAAAATTCAAATCTCGTGTTGATAAAATTTTAATATGCCTTTACATTAATAGCTAGAGTTCGAATCCACTGTGGTGGTGCGATTGAGAGGTTAATTTTGTTCGGCTACTTGGATTTTGGGGTGGGGCGCACCGGTTAGGTGGTTGGAGGGGTGGCAAGGGATTGGAAGGGGGTCTGGTTCGCAGGCAAAGGGTGGAGCTGCTGCAGATGGGGACTGGGGGTTAGGGAGGGAGCTGGCCGGGGAGTCGGGGCTGAGCGGTGGTCGGCAGCGGCGACAGGTAGACATATTGCTAGGGTGGCTGGGGGCAGGGGCTTGGGTTTGGGGTGTTGGGGCATGGAGAGGAGCAGGGGCAATGGGTGGTCTATGGGAGATGGCTGGCGGCGCGGTGTCTGGCGGTGTTGGACGGTCAATGGCTAGTAGCCGTGGAGGTAATTGTTTTACCGAAAAATTATCCGACGATCATAGTGACACGTTTCACAACGGCAGTGTCATTCGAAAGTGATACGAAAATTGACAATGACATTAAAAAATGTGACGTAAAAATTTAACAGTGACATATAAATTTGACGGTGACATAAATATTTGGCAATGATATCATATTTTTCTAAATATATGACCTTCTTAGTCATTTTTTTGTCCTTTTAAAAAAATGATCACATTTTTGAAAATTGGCTTTTATTTAGTACTCCCTCCGTCCCTTAAAACTTTACAAAGTTTGACCGGCACGGGGATTAATAAAATAAAAATTGTGTGATAGAGGCTTGTGCAGAGTAGAGAGAATTGATTGTAGCAACAATTTTTTTACTTAAAATGGAAAATGTCAAAGTTAGTGAGCCATCTAAAAAGGGAAAATTGACAAAATTTTAAAGGACAGAGAGAATAATATTGAAGAAAAAAACCCAAAAGGTTAAGGTGGAGGGGTGAGAGTATTATTTAGAAGTACAAATTTGAGTACAACATGCCATTATTATATTACCCTACCAATGCACACCAACTCCTCCTACAGCCTGTGCATGTTGAATGCCTCGTGTGTGTTACGGTTAATTGGGTCCCGTTCAATTGCGTATACGTCGTAGAATGTTCATATTTTTGTTTCGAGTAACCGAGGCGTATTTGTGACAAATTGGTTGGCTTTAATCTATCAAATTAAATTTGATGAATTAGTTCTTTTTTTGAAAGAGATGAATTGGTACCTTGTGATTTAAAAATATGTCAAATCTCTCTGTATTATAATTATTCATGCGCAATTCCTTTTTGTACAAATTTAATTGTCAAATAAATAAACAATGATTAACATTTTTGTATAATTTAGAAATCTTGACAAAGTTATTTGCGTATTTAATCCTACTATTAAGAAAAGTGATTTCAAAATTGTAAAATTTGTTCTTGAAGGGGTTTTGTGCATATATAACTGTAATACAACTTACACAAGGGATTTGACGCATTTTTTAATAAAAAAAAATCACACGAAATTGATACACCGAATTTATATATCATGAAGGGATTTGATGCATTAAACCCGAAATTTGTTGACAATTGAACATCTTTTATTCTAATGGCTCTTCTAATTATATCATAAATCGTCGGAACAATTGAACATCTTTTATTCGAATAATTGAACAATTGAACAATTATATCATCACCATGTGATGCTAATACTTCAGATAATTATTTCATATAGCATGTTTTATGGAGTCCGAGTCTCTGCCTTTCTTTAGCAACAAGGTAGGGTGCCTGGGCCGAGGGAGGCTGTCTGATCGAGAACTCGATGATCGGAGATAATTGCAGTCCACTTCGACACGTATCTCGAGGCATTCTTCTTGCTATTTGACCGTCGGTTGCCGCAAGGCACTCTGCCATACGTAGGCATGACAATGGGTCGGGGCGGGGCGGGTATTGCAAGACCTGGACCCGCCCCGCCGTAACCTAATTAGCTAGTATGTATTTTTTTATGGGAAGTTGTTACCAATTGAATCTACATAATGTTTATCTCTAAATAATAATTAAAAATCAATATGTTAAATCAAATTCATGATACGCTAAAAATTTCAAAAATTAAGGAAAAATTACTCAAACTTGAATAGTTAATCTTATTAGTTATATTAATAATTGAATATATGTATTAAAATTCTATATATAAAGAAGACATTGATAATCCGTCGTGCATCTCATTATAATATATACTTCGTATTCATATATTATAAGATCAAAGAATTTATGATTTATTGTATATACACATATGTATGTTGAAGTATATTTGTAGTACTATAATTTAAGAAAAAATATGTATACTTATATATTGAGCAGGTCGGGGCGGGGCGGGTCGGGGCGGCACGGGTCAATTCTA